AACGATTCCTTGAGTAACTCGAATACAAAAAATCAAGGCAAATTATTTGCCTCAAGGCTTCGTTTAGCCCATTTACTGTAACTACACACGGAACACTGTGTTTCCCCACGGACTATTATTACTGACGCACAACCCGATAAACGCTGGACATGCGTCCCAATGTGCACGCTATACATGCTAAATTCTATGTGATATTAGTCATTTTCAATACTATTTAGGGCAGATAGGGTGGATAGTATGCACATTGGGATGCAGGGATATTTAAAGGGGTCATATGATGCGATTTCAATTTTTCCTTTCTCTTTGGAGTGTTACAAGCTCTTGGTGCATAAAGAAGACCGTACCATTTAAGACCGTAAATCAATATGGTGGCTAGTTGTGATGTCTTTAAGTTAGCTATGTTTTGTGAAAGCGCCATTCGTGTTGATTGTCTCATTCTCTCTCTGTGACACACAGACACACTCCCCATACAGTTATAGTATACAATGACTCACTTATTAACAGTGACTTGCTGCCACCTACTGGTGGTTTTAAATTCATTTAAAGTATCTTTTCATTTTTGTTAAATAGTGTAAATAGGCCTACATCTAAATGCCTCGTCGAATGCAGCTTCTGTGTTTCCTCTGCATTACAAAGATGAATTTTGTTGATACTAATGCCATTTGTTTGGTAACAACCCGAATGTCTTATTATTCTAATTGACTGATTAAATGTAAGAATTTGACTCAAAAGATGATGCACACTTTTAGGAAAGAAAAAAAAAAGGCTTTATAAAGGTAAAAATGCCCATAAAATGTAAAAATCAATTTAAACTTATTGGAACAGATTCATTTTTTTGTATTTTTTTTGTATTTTTTATTTATTTATATATTTGTGTTTGAATTTTGAATGTAATTTGGCAATTAAATGCATTAAATGGGTTTAGTTTAAAAGGTAATGTATGCAATTTCAGCAGTAAAAATATTTATTTTCCTAAAAAGGAAACAATTAGTTGTTTATTTTAAGAGACTTATCTTATTTTCTCCTGTATATCTAGTATTGCTCTTTAATAAAGAAAAAGGACTTCTTATCCGATTACTCAAATAATCGATGGAATAATTGGTACAATACTCGATTACTAAAATAATCGATAGCACCAGCCCTACTCATTTACTGCAGAGGATCCATCGGTGAGCAAGTGATGTAATGCTAAACTTCTCCAAATCAGTTCTGATGAAGAAATCAACTCATCTTCATCTTGGGTGATCTGTGTGTGAGAGTTTTCAGAAAATTTAAATTTTTGGGTGAACTATTCCTTTAAGCATGGGTTTAATTTTTAATTAATCATTTTAATTGGCATTCAGTCAGTGTAATTACTACTAGAAATGTTGATATCAAAACATGTCTGTAGAGCACTCTCTCACTGTATGTCTCTCAGCTCCAGTGTTGGATGACTCCACAGTGTCTCAGCTGTGTGAGATGGGTTTTCCTCTGGAGGCCTGCCGGAAGGCCGTGTACTACACAGGCAACACTGGCATTGATGCTGCTATGAACTGGGTGATGGGACACATGGAAGACCCTGGTAAATTCACTCATCAATGAGTGTCAGCTGTGAAGAGGAATTAAAAGTAGAATGCAGATTTCCAGTAAAATTCTCTGTGATCTTCTGCAGATTTCTCAGCACCTTTAGTGTTGCCTGGATCTAGTTCTGCTCCTGGCACCACTCCCACGGAGAGTCTACCTGAGGAACATCTAGCAACTATTGTTTCTATGGGATTCAGTCGAGACCAGGCCACTCGCGCTCTCAGAGCTACGGTGAGACACGGCAACTGTCTCTCTTAACCCGAGGGATATAAGAAGTTTTATTGATTCATAGACCTGATACTAAAAGTGTATTGTCCCTCATTTTGCATGCAACCCAACCTTTCTTTTAAAATTGTGATTCTCTGGTTAAAGCATTAAAGTCACACAAATCATGGTTCTAAATTTTGGTAACAGGTAGCAAAAATTGTAAACTTCATAATATAAATAGAGAATGAAACCTGTTAAAGGGATACTCCACCCCAAAATGAAAATTTTGTCATTAATCACTTACCCCCATGTCGTTCCAAACCCATAGAAGCTTCGTTCGTCTTCGGAACACAATTTGTAGATATTTGGGTAGCAAAAATTGTAAACTTCATAATATAAATAGAGAATGAAACCTGTTAAAGGGAAATGAAAAATGAAACCCCAAAATGAAAATTTTGTCATTAATCACTTACCCCCATGTCGTTCCAAACCCATAGAAGCTTCGTTCGTCTTCGGAACACAATTTGTAGATATTTTGGATGAAAACCGGGAGGTTTGTGACTGTCCCATAGTTATTACACTGTCAAGGTCAAGAAAAGTATGAAAATCATAGTCAGAATAGTCCATCTGCCATCAGTGGTTCAAACGTAATGTTATGAAGCGACGAGAATACTTTTTGTATGCAAAGAAAACAAAAATAACGACTTTATTGAACAATTCGTCTCTATGTCTGTCCGCATCACCGTAGCACCATTTTGGAGAATGTTTTATTTCAAATCACAGTGTAAATACATGTAGCAAACGTATCCTTGTGGCGCGGCTGACACAGAAGAGCGTAAGCTGCCTGCGTTCGGCTCATATTCTTCATAGTCAGAATAGTCCATCTGCCATCAGTGGTTCAAACGTAATGTTATGAAGCGACGAGAATACTTTTTGTATGCAAAGACAACAAAAATAATAACTTTATTGAACAATTCGTCTCCATTATGTCTGTCCGCATCACCGTAGCACCATTTTGGAGAATATGAGCCACAAGGATGTGCTGTTTTATTTCAAATCACAGTGTAAATACACGTAGCAAACGTATCCTTGTGGCGCGGCTGACACAGAAGAGCGTAAGCTGCCTGCGTTCGGCTCATATTCCAAAATGGTGCTACTGTGATGTGTAGGTTACTTGGCAGTCAATCGTGCTGTACATTCACTCCCCCACGACTTCCCACAAAAGGTTACTTGGCAGTCAATGGGACAGTCACAAGCCTCCCGGTTTTCATCCCAAATATCTTAAATTGTGATCGAAGCGAAAAAGACGAACGAAGCTTCTATGGGTTTGGAACGACATGGGGATAAGTGATTAATGACACAATTTTCATTTTGGGGTGGAGTATCCCTTTAAGGTTGACGATCAGTATGTTACAACTGCTTTCTGCTTCCTTTCACAGGCAGGCCATGTTGTTAATTGAAGATTGATGATTCAAATCCTATCTATCAATTTCTGTATTTGTAGAATAATGTTCTCGAGCGAGCCGTGGACTGGATCTTCTCTCATCTGGATGATCTGGAGTCCATGGACGTGTCTGAGGGTGGGCGCTCAGAGGGAGGAAGTGAAGCCAGTCGGGAACCTCCTCCAGGGCCGCGTGTCCGTGACGGACCAGGAAGTATGCATTTCTGTGGTATTTATTAAATGGTGATTTTTGTAAAACACCATTTAATAAATATTTTGCTCTCTTCTCATCTTTCCCATTCTTTTGTCCTGAAGAGTATGAGCTTTTTGCGTTCATCAGTCACATGGGAACGAGCACAATGTGTGGTCATTATGTCTGCCACATAAAGAAGGACCACCAGTGAGTGAAGTTCTTTCTCCATCTCTCTCTATCATTGTTCATATGCAGCTCTTATACAGCAATATCACTTTTTCTCAATATTAATGTTTTCATTGTTACTCTTTGCTTCTTTCAGGTGGGTAATCTTCAACGATCAGAAAGTTTGTGCCTCTGAGAAACCACCTAAGGACCTTGGCTATCTGTACTTTTACCGAAGAGTGGTGGAATAGAGTAAATTAAAATAGTATTTTCCTCACAGACACACACACACACACACACACACACACTCATCTGTGTCTGATCTACTGAAACAGTAGGCCCAGACTCCTGCTTCTAAACTGATGCACCATTTAATAAGTCAAAGCACTTCTCCATCAAATATATTCACTACCAAGAACCGTAATAATGACAGAAGGGGGAAAAAAATAGATGTAGAATGCGCGGATTAGAGTGTTCTTACTCAAAACGCCCATGTTGTACAACGCCTTACCACACACACACACACACTAGTCTCCTTCCTGCCTCCCCCTGATTGGATAGTGGCTATTGTGACATCATCGCTTTTAGCGCTAAGCTCCACCTTCCTTCCTTTATGTGTTTCAGAATGTTCCTGCAAATGTTTAATGGAAAGTAAATTAAATCACTAAATCACAAAAAAACAGCTAAATATTAAATATTGGAATTTTACATTAAAAAAATGAATGCAAAAGGTAGTTGTGCAGTTTCACTTTTTTCCTTATGTTTTGTTCTCCTTTTTGGGGGGAGGAAAGAATTCCTTTTGTTATTTTTGCTTTAAAATAATAAAAAAGTGTCTCTTTGCTGCTTCTGGCTCTGTGTATTGCTTATGGGTGTGTATTAAGGAACTTTCTGCCAAATGCAGTGTCAGCATTAATACACATTTTATGTTTATTACAGAAAGTAACATGTGAAGTATTGAGTATTGATAAATGTAAAAGCATGAAACTCTTCTAAGTGTATGAAGAGCACGAATTGCATTTGGTAATTGATCTAGTTAACAACGGAAAGCTAAAGTGATGTTTCACTGCTGATAAGCTTTTGTAAGTAAATTAGTTCAGTGGCCAAAGTCCTGTGGGTTTTATAAACGTGTAGCCTACATTGTACATAATGTACATTGATGGTACTGAGAAGCCGATATTTATATTAATGTGCAAATGCTGACATCGATTATTTATTTTTATTAATTTATTTGCATATTACGTAATTGTGAATCTTTTTATAAACTTAATTCTCAAATCTAACCTTATTTCAAGGATTTCCCAGAGTGAAGTGCATGTGAGAGGCGTTTTCTGCCCTACATTGGTTGTTTCCAAACAATTTTTTTTTGCTTTCTTCCGCTCTCATACCTCATTTCAGTTTCTTGTGCAGGTTCAGGTTTTTGTGTCGGCTGGTTTCCCGCACACGCTCGTTTTTACCAGTTGGACTAAATGCGCAGAACTTACCTCAAACTTTGTCAACAAACATAAAACAGCATCCAAACGTGAGTATGAAAAGAAGAGCGTTCAGCTATAAAAATACCTAACTTGCATAAGCGAATGGTTTCTTAAATAAAAACATTGAAAATCCAGATAAAAATATATAAGTACCCGCAGAATGATGGGTGTTCTTATAATTACATGATTTTTGCAGGATTTATGAAAATGTGTCATCCTATCCTTTAATGACAACAATCTGTAATATTATTGCATATTCAAATAGAAATGTTCATTTGTAAGGGAATCTTGCGTATATTAGGCATACATTAGACGTACACATTTTTATTGTTTGTTTTTTAAGTATGTGTAGCCTGCAATCTGGAGCCATTCTATTATTATTTTGCTGGTAGTTTGTTTAGCTTAAAAGTCATTTAAATTTTTCATTTATCTTAGATTATTCGAATTTAATCAGTTGAAATTATGAATATTTCTAGACCAAACGAAACGAATGAAAACGAAACAAAATGAGTTAAGTGAGTTGCGTTTGTGGCTCATAGTCACATGCTTTTTCCTGTTTGCTCTTTTTTCTTTGTAAAAGCATGAGCCTCTTTTTATGAACAAAAATAAACTAGTTAGGGTTTTCTCACCGAAAAGAAATCTTAATATAACTCCAGGCTTTTTTTATTTACAAAGAAACTCATTTTCATTGACTATATTTTTTAGAAAAAGGAACAGAATGGCAATTTGCAAGATCCTCTTTTTTCTTCTTGGTAAGCATAAATAAATTAATAAAATGCATTGTATTATTCTAAGCTGTACTATACATTTTATTTTAAGCAGTCTATACTTTGCCTGTAGAGCTTTCTTCATCTTGCTGTGTTTAACCCTCCTTGCTCTCCATCCTTCTCTCCTTCAGCACTGTGTATATGGTGTGGGAAATGTGATGTGTTTTATAAGCAAATCGGGGATGAGGTTTCCATGAAGTGTGGAGTGGATTCAAACAGTAATATAGAATGGAAATTGAACGACGTGTTGGTCTTAACCATTGATGGCAGACGTGGGACTAGACGGAGGGGTATCAGTTCTTCTCCTTTCAATCCAAAAATGATTTGAATATGAAATTTTGTGAGTAGTCACTGTAATTGATTTTTATTTTAAAGGTCTTTCCCATATTGCGTCAAAAGCAAGTGTATCTGGAGACATTTTGAAGGTTCCTAGACTGGAGACAAGAGACTCTGGAAACTATTTCTGTAGGCAGTCAGGGAAAGAACACATTGTGCATGTTGTGTCAGGTGAGATATTTTTTATGTTTGTACCTATTTATTTTTAGAATTATTGTATTTTTCATATTTACTCTCATTTCTCCTCCAGTCTTTGTTAAACCAGGCCCAGTGCTGGTGCAGTCCAGTGATGCAGAGCTGCACTGTGACATTACAGGAGACCCAAACAAGGAAGTACAGTGGCTGAGACCTAATGGTCAAAAATATAATGAAAATAATCAAGTAATTCACCTGAAGTCTGTGACTTCAAATGAAGCAGGCCAGTGGACGTGTCTAGTCAAGGATGACTTGAAGCTCAGTGTAACATTGACTGTTGTTGGTTGGTGCCCCTTCGTAGTTGTTATTCAGAATGAGTATTTTTTATTACTATAATGCTTCACATTTCATGCTGTCAGTGACATTTGTCTGGTTCTCCAACAGGTCTCCAGACCACAGCTGTTAATGCTTCTAAAGGGGATGACATAGAGCTGTCCTGTTCTCTTCCTCAGAGTGTATTTCAGCGTGTTGTGGGTGGGACATGGAAGGCTAACCACCTTCCCAAAGTCTCTTTCCCAACCCTGACGAACACACCAAATGAAGGCTTACACTGGAGTTGCGAGGATTTATCAAAAGTCAACTTTACTACTGGGCAACTCAGCACCAACTTTGATGTCACGTTGAAAAATGTGAATACTTTTCACTGTTTTAATCATCTAAAGAATGATTTTCCTGTATAAAGAACTATTTGTGCAACTGAAAAGTTTCCATGGATGTTAAAGGTTCTTCATGGAATAATCCATACCAAAAAATTTTTTTTAAATGTTGTATGTTGACAGTAATTTCCCCTCATATTCTCTCAGGTGCAGAGCAGTGATGAAGGGACGTTTGTGTGTACAGTGGAGTTTGAGGGTGGAGTGCGTCTAAGTGTCGAGACGACATTGAGGGTTGTGGACAAACCTTCAGGTAAAATAAAACAACACTGCACAGCTTAACAGAATCAGTCTTGGGATGCACACTTTTTATCAGAACCTTATAATTTACTGGCAGATGTTAGAGATTAGTCAGTACTGTCTATATACATATTGATATTGGACATTTCACCCCCTTGAAATTATAAGGTTCTATCTGCATTCTGAGTGATTTTGAAATATTGAGCTTCAAAGATTTTGCATTCCATATAGCAAAAGTGATAATGGGGAACAAGTCTCTTTCATACATGAAAATGACAGAGACCCTAAATGTATTCTAAATGTACAATATCAAAATTCTCTCAAATTTGTAAACATTGTGACAAATGTGATGCTATTTAATTAATTATGGTGATGAATCACAGCATTCTAAATTGCACTCACAGCTGTATATAAAGGAAAGACTAGAAAGTTGCAGACCATTAAAATGGATTCAAAAAGAAAACCAAACTGGTCCAAAAATCTTCTAGTGCAGTCAGTCATTAAATGGAAGGCGGTAATAAGAGGAAAATTCAGCAGGGGATTGTGAGAATAGGTGGAAATGTTTTGGCATCAGCACGCAAAGGAAATTGCAGCATACAAAGAAATCATGCGAGCCACTGGTACATTTTTTAGCCTTATTAAACCCATTTTTATATTAAATGACTGTTTCCATGTGGTCAGCAGCTGAGTTCTTGTCAAATAGGTGGAGGCCTTCCATGTAATCCTCAGTCTGAGATCGCTAAAATAGTAGAGGAGATACTGGGAATAGCCATTCCTTCCATTTGTGGCATTGCAGATGCTCCAGACCCTGCACTGATCAAATTGGAGTTAAAGAGATGGTAAGAAGAAAATTATACATTTAATGTGTTAAACTTTTTTTATAACTTGACATTAGTTACTTTAATCTATGGACATGGAAAAAAATACCCATCGGATTCAATAAACATGTTTGCACTCTTTAATATTTTCTGCATGTGAATGTAGTGTGGATGATGCTGGAGCCAGTCCATCTGACGCATCTTCTCCTGTATCATCTCAGGACCTCTCCTCATGTCCTCCAGATAAGCCTTCTCCCTCACAAGACACAGGGTTTGCAGAGAGTGTAGATCCTGAGGATGACATTGAGTCTCTTGAAAGAAAAAAGCTTAATTTGCAAATAAAGTTGCTGGAAAATCAAAATGAATATTATGCACTCAAACTGAAAAAATTTAAGAACAGTCAATGATTGTCAGTGTTATGGAGTTTTTACTATTTACATGTAACGGAATTACGTAATTTAATTACGTATTTTGGTTTATGTATATGCTTTCTTTTTTTAAGATTAACTGTTAGATGCCTGTGTTTCCTGTCATAGCGCAAAGATTTGATTTCAATCAACAATATCATATCTATTAAAATATTTCTTGTCATGGTTTTAAATCTGTATTTAACCTCAGAATGATCTCAAAATAAAAAGGTGCAAAAGTCTGATTTTGTGAAAATAAATTATTATAGAAAAATTATTCTTATAATCCTAATTTAAATGATGAAGAATTCTGAAAGTCTGACAGTAATGAGTGTTGAGTACTACTGTAAGGTTAACCCTGCCTGCTTTAAATGTTTGAAAATGATTATCAGTTGAAAACATTCATTAGAAATTTAGAAAAGTAATCAAAAAGTGATCAGTTACATTAATAAAGTAATTGAAATACTACATTTTAAATAGGGTAACTTGAAATCTGTAACCTGTTACATTTCCAAAATTACCTTCCGAACACTGATGATTGTACATATTTTTGCAAATAAAATGTTGTGATGACAAATTTGTGCATTGTTACTTATTGTCTACAAGTTTTGCTTACCCAAAATGTAAGTTAGCAAAGCAGTCTCTTATTGACTCACTCCCTGAAACACTTTGTAAAGTTTGCTCAGTGGTATTGAAGAATGCACTCACTGAAGTAAAATGGTATCTTGTCTACAGTTCAGACAAGTACAGTACCTGTTATAATTAAGCTGCTGTTCTCCCTGTGGTCTTCTGTTAGAGGTGAGAAGCCAGTGTTTTAAAGCGTACCCAAGTCACCCAGCAGATGACATTCAGGTCAAACATAAATTTGTTCAAATAACCCTGCGAGGCCACTCTGGGAAAGAACCCGAGCATCATGTTGACCCTGGCCATTTTGGCACAGGATCCAGGATCTTGTAACTGGCATCAAACACAACTTGAACACTGATGCTGTGGAATCCTTTTCTATTTATGCATGTCTCCTCATTTACTGTTGGAGCAATAATGCAAACATGAGTGCCGTCGATGGCTCCAACTCCAAGGAAGCCCGCAATCCTCATAAAGCTGCTTGCTTTTGCTGTATAGTTTGAAGGTCAGTTGGGAAGTCACTGAACCACCTTACTATATTTTGTGTGGCTGCAATAGTGCTCTTTAAAGGGTTCATATGATGCCATTTCAAGTTTTCCTTTCTCTTTGGAGTGTTACAAACTGTTCGTGAATAGATAAGATCCCTAAAGTTTCAAAAACTAAAGTCTCAAACCCAAAGAGATATTCTTTATAAAAGTTATGACTTGTCCACGCCCTCCTAAAACACCTAGTTTAAACACACCTCCACATGTCTACATCACTGCGTGGGAAGATTTGTATAACGCCGCCCAAATGTTTACACAAAGAAAGAAGGCGTAAATTGATTCTTGCTGTAGTATTGTTGCTGCCGCCGCCTTGTCGTGGAGACACTGTATTTCGTTGTGAAAGCGAAAATAATTTGTTTGGTCTTCCAAAAGATGACACGACAAATCAGTTAAGTTGTATTTACAACAGTGTTCCAGAACAGTTCAAACCAAATATCCGAGTGTGTGCAACGCATTTTATAGAGGACTGTTTCCTGGGAGAGTAGACTACAATGCCGACTGTTCTGACTCAGCCTGTAAGTACGTTTTTTATATATAAAGAATATGCCACTGACAATTCAAACGCGAGTTTTGAGCAGTGTAGAGTAGCGCTTGTTGTTTGTCATTTCTCCGATCACAAATGCAGACATGATTTTATGTTTACTCGGATGCAACGCAACGCGTAAAAAGACAGTACAAGTCATTATAATCAGTAATTATTTCCCCACTGGATGCAACAAATGCCTCGTTTGTAATGGGTTTTATTGGTTTTGTCTCGTCATGCCGGAATACAGCATCACAATATGGTAAGGGGTGTAACATTTCTGTCACACGCTTGAGGTATTCGGCCAATCACAACGCACTGGATAGCTGGCCAATTAGTGTACACCTCGCTTTTCAGAACTATGAGCTTTGTAAAAATCTACATGTTTCAGAAAGGCGGGGCATAGAGGAGAAACAATAATGTACAGTATGTGGAAAATAATGTGTTTTTTTAACCTTAAACCACATAAACACATTTCATTACAACAAATATACAAAATAATGTTCTTTTTCAGCAACGTCATGTGACCCCTTTAAGGCCCTGCTGACTGTGGACTGTGATGGGCCCAAATCAACACTGGTGCATTGCTGCATTTTTCCAGTAGCCAAAAAACGCAGAGTCATTATGACTTTTTATTTCTGTAGATAAAGCATTGTTTTGTAGTGTGGGAGGTTATAGAATTTCAGTGACAAAAAGAATGCCTTGATGATTTTATCAACTCCCTGTCCTCATATAGCAGGGGTGGCGAACTCCGGTCCTGGAGAGCCGCAGCCCTGCAGAGTACAGCTCCAACCCTAATTAAAACCTACCTGCCTGTAGCTTTCTAGTAACCCTTCAGACCTTGATTAGCATGTTCAGGTGTGTTTGATTAGGGTTGAAGCAAAAC